TTATAGTCATTTGCTCTGTAGGACAGTCCTCAGGATCCTTGTTAAGCTTTTAGCCCCTGACCTTGCTCCAGACCAACATGCAAGTTAGTGGTGAGCCCGGGAACAGATCCAAAAGCCCTTTTTGTTTTGGTGGCTGAGTTTTCTTCTGGATTAGGGAACTGAACCAGCATCCTTGGTCGCTACCCATTCACCAGATCTGAAGCAAAACGAGCAGCAAAAGTGAGGAATTAGGAGTGTGTGTATATTGGGACTTCCCTTTCAGCAGCATTCCGTTGCTCTGGACTAGGAGGAACATGGAAGAACATGAACCTGCACCCTGAGAGTTGATTCCCAAGGCAGAGCTGCGATGCTGGCCCAGGTCAGGTCCATCAGGCTCTGTGGGACAAAAGTGTTTCTGGTACAGTTGAAAGACCTGCTTGAAGTTACCTCCTGACCATGTTAATTAGTACTTCCTATCTGCTTTCACAAAACTAACGAATTTTGAGGTAATTTCATGAGTTTTGTTCAGATCAACCCAATATATACAACCTTGCAGATACTGGGAAAGATTTTGCCAAAGGTAGGGAATCCGCACAGTCCAGATACACCCCTTCTTGTTGCTCCAGAGAAAGTCAGCCTTCACAAGACTCGGTCTTATGAAAGTCGCCACTGGGCAGACTAGAAGCGTTCATAGCCCCTTGTGAACTAGGTTAAGTTTTGTGATGCTTAGGAAACTTCACCAAGGAAACAGAGAGAGCCCAATGAATAGCAGAGTCTAGAGGGTGACAGCTCTGCTGACTACCTGCTACACTGTCCTACAAACTGCTAGCAGACTTCCAGGCAAGGGAAAGTTGTCCCACATGTTTGGCTAAATGCCAGCCTGGGACCAATAAATGGCCAATAAATGTTTTTTCTCTCTCTCCTCTCTCTCTCTCTCTCTTTTGCCTTGAGTTCTCACCAAGGAATCTTTCACCCATGATACCTGCCCCGCCTTGTGCCTTCTTCCCAAAAGCTCCCAAAATAGAAACCATGCAAAGCTCAGAACTTTTCTAGACAATCAGCAGTCAGATAAGAGATTAGCTCTGGATCACTCCTTTCTGTCTGGAGGAGAAATGTGTAACATGGGGCCATTGCAATATGAGCTCCAGTGAAAGTGAATGACAGGGCACTCCAAACCTTCAGCTGGCAAGATGTTGTATGTTAGGCTAAAAATATCTCAGCACGTGAATGTGCTTCCATGCATGCAGACATGCTTGTGTACAGACATCTAGTAAAGACATCTCTCATGTTACCGATGGCCTCATGCTCCAAGCGCCTGTTCAGAAGGGCTTTTGGTGTATTTCCTCTTTTTGTGTGTGTGTGTGTGTGTGTGTGTGTGTCAAATGGCCAGAATCACAAGCACTAAGGACTATGCACTCCCTAGGATGCTAAGAATACTGGTTAATGTCTGGATGCTTTGAAAATAGACCAGCAAGTCAAAATCTGATGATATGATCCGATGATAAAGGTTCTCAAGTTAAGGTTTCTGAAGGTCTGCATAGGTTCATTTCTGTGGCTTCTTCCCATAAGCAAGCAATCAAACCAACTTGATGAGTACTTCTGGAGGGCTGACACACGCATGCTGAGGTGGGACAGAGGACACCAGGTGAATTTGTCATGGCAAGGCTGTTCATATGTTTTCATTTTGGTGTAATTCCATACTGAACCCCCAGGAATGCAGTCCTAACTCTTTCTCTGTCAGGCAAGTTGTAGGCTGAGTGTCACTGGTGACCTTTACAGTTGAACAAAAAAGTCACGTATATCCACTGTGTTATGTTCCAGTGGGAATGGGTCTTCTGGGTCTGGAAACAGTGGTAGAAGCAGTCTGAGGGGCACACTGAAACCAGGGGTTATTGGGAGGTGCTAGTCCCTTGGTTCGGGATTCTGGCATCTGTCCTTGCTGTTAGTGCGAGCTCTCAAAGTCTAGCCTGGGGTCACCCTGCCTAACCATAGGCACCAAACTGATGTGCCACAGTTAGGTACCTGTGCACCCTTGAGGAACTCTTCATGTACTGGAGTAGAAGAGGCAGCTTCAGGGAGTAACTCAGGGCTACTGGTGCCATTGGGGTGAATCCAGGGTTTTTGCAAGATGGACACCCTTCATCCCAAAGCTCACGTGCCTTTTGCACATACAGTGCCCAAGTGTCAAGCAGGGAGCTATCACAGTGATGGCATAGATTGTCTTAAAATGCTGTGAAGCCATTGCCTTTGAGTCACTGTTTATTTACTTCGTAGAACTGAAGGCTGAGCAACCTTAAACAGTGGTAAATGAACAAGTGATGTCCAAGCAACCATTTAGCTGAGGCTATAGGGACCTGACAAGTTTACTTCACTTCACCACTGCAGAGACAGCTCTGCAGCTTCTGACATATGCTCCTCTATCCACTCCTTTGTCCTCAGGGTGTCCCCAGGTCTGCATCCAGGCAGTGCTTCATAGTGCCATGACCATCTTAGCCATCAGTGGCTTTTCACCACCTTTCCATACTCGTACCCCAACGAGCCGTTTTCTTCTTCCTCTTCTTCCCCCAGCAATGCAAATGTCATCCCACCTCTTAGCGTTAATGCAGGCAGGGACCGATAAGACCATAGAGGAGGAAATAAATGATTTCTCCAATGTCTAAGTAAAATTACATTTGTGGAGTCTGAAACTGCTAGAGTAAATAATGACAGAAAAAGTGTAGATTCATAAATTTAGATTTTTTTTTCTAGCAGCACCATGCATTGAAAAGCATTCACATTAGCACTGGAAAGAAGTCTTATCCAAAATACAATTATTATTTAATTTTAGTCCGCAGAGCAGTGAGTGAATGAAGATTCATTTGTAGTGAGGTGCCTTAAAGGCACTAGCCTTGCACCTCTTAAGGATTTAGCTCTTCTTCTCAAGGTATCACAGGATAAAAGCTTGATGGATTTACTCCCAAAGGCAAAGGCAGCATATCTAGTTGCAAATCGTGGTTAAGATAGATGTCCACAGGTCTTTCTAAAAGAGGGGTAGATTGCTCAGCTCTATACAAGTCTGTGTGGTTAGCACCTCATATCTGGCTACACTAAATTCTCTCACAGGATGAGGAAACCCAGTGCTTTTTATAGCTAGTCAAACATTTCTCTTCGTATTTTGTCCAGAGTTTTGGCTTTGATGACTTTCAATCAATTTTTAATAATTCAAATGTATATAGGGTTTAAAACAAGGATTTAAAAAATCAAAATATATTCTTAATAAAGTATGAATTTGGGAATTGCTCCCCCCCCCTTTATTTTCCATTTCCATTTCCCTTTCCCTGCTTTGTTAAGTGAATACAATATGGAAATAGAGTTCCCAGGGTTTTCATTTCTGCCTTCCTTCCTGGCCAGATACGCTGCGAAAGGTTAAGGTGAAACCTCTGTCAGTAGCCTGGGCCCTGCCATCGAAACAGGAGTACTCTGGGTGTCGAACATTTTACCTATTTTTGAAAGGCATGGAATAAACTCATCCATCGTCTGTCTGGCTGGTGTCTCTCCTGGGCCCTTCCAGCACATTAACACTACAGGAGGAGGAAGTTGGAGGACTTTCCTTTGTTCTTACAGCATCAAAAACTGTTTATCTTCTTTCACATGTTTCTCTCTGGTTCCTGCATTCTCTGAAAAGGTTCAAGTAGAATTATCCAGCATGTGTTTTTGCAGCTTTTCGTCAAGGAAGACTCTTCGTGAGGTTTCGTTGACCTCACCAGAAATCATCTCTGGCTGGTCCTGAGCTTCGGAAACTCTCTTCTCTGCGGTAAAGAGGGCCTTGCAGAAGTATAAACTGTCCTTCAGTGCCTGCACACAAAGAAAAATCTGTAGTTTGAGAGATATGTTGAAATTCCTAATAGAGAATAATTTGAGTTTGAAACAGGCAAGGGTCAAATGACCTAAAAACTCTGATTAGGAAAAGGGGGGAGAGGGACTTATCTTTAACGCAGAGACTGTCTGTTATTAAAAACACAGTGGGATAATAAACCTTGCAATGTGCTAATTTTTTAAGGTCGGAATGTGTTTTGACTGAGTAAAACAAGAAAGACAGCTGATAAGATATTTTGAGACAAATTGCAGAATGTACAATAGATATGTGAAAGGTTAAATAAAGACAGCAGTGTCATTTGGGAGGTAAGCTTGAGCCAAGTCAGGTTTCACCAGTATAACAGCCCAAGTGCACTGTGAGGCTATAAACCATATAGTGTCTGTACTAACTTCTGCATTATTGAATGCAGGAAACAGCTGGACTGGGGAGAATATGTGGGTTGAAAGAATAGCTCTTCCTTCAGTGCATTTTTGATGTTCATTTTTATCTTGTTCCTGCCATGTCGTGGTTGTGAGTATGAGAAGGTTTGTGTGTTAGTGGTGCTGCCCTGGGCACTAGCAGCAGTACTGGTAACCTTGCGTTTTCTTAGCTTGTTTAAATAAAGAGGCAAAGCAGCTCTTCTAGATGCAGCTGCGACTGGGCTCTAATGCCTGAGCTCGGGCCTTTTCTGCGATGGGAGCTCTGTCTGGGTGGCTGCAGCAGAAACCCGGCCACGTAACACGGCCACCAGGCCCGCGCGGCTCACGGGAAGCAGCACACATGAGCCCTCCATCTCCCGCTCTTGTGGCCCCGCTACCATATCCCAAACCGGTCCCGCTACCCTCGCATGCCCTGCAGGCAGCAGTGCAAGCTTGGAGGGTTGCTTTGATATAATGTTGACATATCAGATCTTCAAACTGAGTCCCATCCTCTGTAAAAGAGCAACCTGCTGTCATACGTGAGCAGAAAACCACTTATTACTGCTTCCTTTAATGTTCTTCTACCTATGCAAGTGCTTGTTACACAGTTACCCCCTAGGAATATAATGGCACTTTCTCGCTTTTGTGATTTCTTCTGCCAGCCTCTGTGAGCAGAGAGCCTGGTAGGCTGGTGTGTGGTTTATCAGCAGGTGAGCAGCTCTGCACCAGAGCCCCCTGTGCCCACCAGCCCAGCTCCCCGCGGGGCGATGGCTTTGGCAGGCGCCGACGAGGGTGCAGCTGGGGAAAGGCAGGTGAGCTGCGGTCTGCGCCCCCGCTGGCATCTGCAGAGCGGGGCGGAGGGGGCACGACACTGGCACATGCTGAAATTTTGCAGGAACGAGCACTCAGTGGCATTGTGCAAAACTTCATTGCTGAAGTTGAGGGTATACGTATCAGAAAGTGAGCAGAATAGGGAACGGAGATGTTTACTGAGCTACAGGTTGTAAGCAAGAGTGAAAGAAAAGAGAATTTAAGAGCCCCTTTATCTGCGTTATCCATTCACCTTTTGGTAGCTGGAACAGCACGATGCAATCCAGGCTGAACTGAAAGTCCTGGTCCTTGCAGACCGAAGACCAAGCAGACTGCGAGTGGACATGAGCACTGAAGCAGAGGCAAGGAAAGTAGTGAGCCGGAGGAAGCGCTCAGCCAACCACAGGCTGTCCGCAGACCACACTGCGAGAAGCATTAGACTGCTTCCTGACTTGCATGTACATCACCAAGTTAGACCAATAATGTAAATACTCTGCAAGGTAGGTAGGACTACTGAACAGGCAGGTCTGCATTATGGGACACACTGAATTAGGCTGTCATGTTATCTCTGTTATCCAATTTACATTCAGTTCTTTTCTGTTCATCTCAGAAGATGCAGGAACATCCTCTGGCCTCCTTAACTTCATAGATCTTTTCTCTTTCCTTTCATCAGACCTCAAGAAAATACTTATTTTCTTTCAAAGCAAAGGGTAGCAATTGGCTGAGTGTGATCTCTGAAGACCCCAGGGATTTTCTTCCCTCTCTGCTTTTTGGGTATTTCATTGTCCTGTTTTCCTTTTTGTTGGTTTGTTTTTTGTCAAATCTCTTGTGTCTAATAGGAAAAAAATACATTTATTTACATTTACATTTATTTAAATACATTTATTAAAGTCTGAATTTACTGTGAAGGACTGATAACATTGGTGTTAACATTGGTGACAACCTTAGCTATGGGTTTTTCAGTGTGTTTCTTTGCAGCCTTCCTCTGTTTTATGATGAAATAACTCAAGTTTATAGACCCTCAGGCTCTTCCTGCAGCTGGATTGGGTGCAGTGCTTCAGTTCCACCAGCTGTTTGAAGGAAGAAATGAGAATTGAGCATGATAACCCAAGCCAGGTCTAGAAATTAAATGAATCCCTCTTCTCCATTTTGGGTTACTTGATCAGAACTGACCACAGTGACGAAATCAAGCTGGTTTATGGGACTGAAGAGGAATGACCACATGTAAGATGGAAGCAAAACGAAGCTTGATGTAAGCTTACATAAAGCTTCATTTTGCATTTTACTGTAGATTAGGCAGTGCATAACTTCCCTCAAGGCAAACCGAAAGTAACGGCACATGAATTTACAAGTGGCAGAACAAATATTTTTGATCATCCTATCTAATTGAAAGTGATACTAAACCCTGAAAGCTCAGGTAGTGATATACGGAATGTGGGTCTATTACTGTCACTTCTGCTGTTACCCCTGTAATCTTGATAATTCCTTCTGCAGGGTGCTAGGTTCAGAGTTTTGTGCTCTTTTGATCAGCATGAAGTTCAGTATAAAAAATGGGATACAATGATTTGCATGGGCAGTCTCACAGTCTTTGTAAACTGTGTGGCTGTGCTTGAAAGGTTTCCATGTATGTGAGATTCCTTCCACACACGGTGGCTTGTCCTGAGCTGTGGACATTTCCGTCAGGTACCCACAGGGTGGCTGTGGTGCGGAGTTGCTCTTTAGGGAACATAGGGCCACTTGTCCCTCTTTCTCCCTCAGTAACAAGTCAGTTAGCAAATACTTTAAGACTTGTGCTACCACTCAGCTACAAATGTAAGTATCTCACAGTGTTTTTACTTATGGACAGCACAGCAAACCCTTGCTCTTGCTCTCTCTTAATTTCTTTAAAGAGCCCAGAAGAGAAACGCAAACATTAAGTGTAATAATAATAATTTTAAAAATGCTAATTTTTACACATGGTAATTTAGACAAAGCTAAGGCCCTCAGTCTTTACCAGCAGGTGCCTGATGCACGTTCTCAGATCCGTCTGGGTGACAGACAAGATCTGCAAATGTGCAGGAGCAAAGAGGATGGTGGAAAAAGCCCTGCTGGTGGCTGCTTGCAGGAACTGGAGCTGCTCATCAGACAGCTTTGGGGTTAACCCGGGTGGAAACTCTCACCTAGCTCCTCTGGCAGCCCCCTCTGCTCTTGCACACACTTTCCATGTGTCTCAGCTGCTTCTGGAAAGTCCAGAGTGGCCAAACTTGTGTAACGTGTAGCCAGGAAGGCTCTGGTACCTGTGGGTGTGTCCTAAAACCCATTGCCAAGGTATGGCTAAGCTTGCATGATGTTTAGTGGATTTCAGCCCCTTGCAGTGCTCTAGTTTCCTGGGATATTCAGCTGGCAGGTGTGACTTTTTTTTTTTTTTTTGGTGAAGAAATGAAACTTGGTGGTTGTATCATTTCAGTGTGCAATTACTGTGCAATAATTCAAATTACCATTGTCGTTACCATTACTTCCAAACAAGCACCTGGTGTCTTCTGCCAAATTGGTGCAGATGTGTAAATTTAATCACTGAGCAACTAATTGATCTCCTGTGCCAATCAGTATGCAACGTGCAGGCACCCTGTGTCCCAACTGAGTTCAATTTAGCAGAGTGGCTGCAAGATTTAATCCTGCTTTGCAGTAAGAACTTAATACAAAAATGAGGAGCAGGCAGCTTTAGGGCTGTCTTTACATCACACATAGCAAAAATGAGCCTTTATTAGTCAAAGGGCTTTGTAGGCCTGTGTGAGAAGGAGGAAAGATTTGGTCAGACAGCATGTCATTTCTGAAAACTGTGGGCTTAAAAAATCATCCAGTGCATGAATTCTGAGCAAGCAAAAGAGCCAAGGCTGGCTGCTCGCTGCTAAGGCCCCGTTAAACCCCTGCAATTAGCAGTGCAGCAAAAACCTGGGGGCTGCCTGGGCTCCCTCCTCTCTGCGCAGCAAACAGCAGAATTTGCTATGGAGCCAGATTAAATTGCTGGATTAAGCACTCGCAAAGCCTGGCATCTGGATCTCTGTGACAGCTGTACCCAGGAAAGAAGTCAAGTATGGGCACTGTAGCCTGCGTCAACCGGTGTGTCATGGGCTGCAGCATTACAGATGGGAAAGGCCTGTGAGGTCACTCACTCCCATTTCTTTTCCAGCACAGGATTTGACCAAAAAAAGTGTTTTTTACTACTCTAAACATGACATTTTAAGGGATTTGAGCAACAATGCAGTTTTCTCCCTCTTCTGGGAACTAATCGTTCATCAGCTATAACTTGCTGTAAGGAAGCATCTAGCCTAAAATTCCCCTATTTTCCTATGCTTTCATTAATAATTCTTGTCTCTCCATTTGAACACAATCTCTCCTTCTTCTGGTCTGTCTCTTCCTCCACCTGTACACATATAGACTGCTTAGTTCCTCTTTGGCAGGGCTGGCTGGTATGGCAGGGATGCCCCACGCCAGGGCTCTCAGCCCTGAGGCTGCTGAGTTCTTGTTCTGCCCAAAAAGCCCACCCACAGCCCTTAGTATCTGTACTGAAAAAAAACCACACACTCAAATCATGACATTTTTTCCATTAAAACAAATATTTTCAGACTTTTCAACTATTTTATCTCTAAATTTGGAACAATTTTCCGTTTTGCATCCAGCCTTCAAAACTTAGATGTGTCCTACATGTAGCCACATGCTTTGCAAATTCAGATTTCTTTTATTATTTTTCTCGCCAGTTCGTTGTTCTTGTCACTGCTGTGTCAAGTCTGCCGTGCCCATGTCATGCTGGGTCCGACATTCACCTCTGGGTCCAAGCAGCTTTGCTTTCTTTCCTCAGCCTTGCTGATACATTTCCCCCAGATGATGGGATTCCTGAGCATCTTTGCTTTGCCGGCCCTTTTTTCTCCCCATTAGGTAATTAATGGGTGACAAAGTTCAGTGTCAGTGGGGCAGGTGAGGCTGGCTCTGCAGCCCGGTGCCCAGCGAGATGTTGGCACCACTGACCTCCTTTGGATCCAGGCCTCATACATCACTGGCAAAATCAGATTCAGGCTTGTGTGACTAATTTTGGGGAAGGTAGATTTTTGCTAACAGTATTATGGAACATTTTGTTATAAATACCTTGTTATAAATACCTTTTGTTATAATCACCTTTCAGCTCATTACGTCTTTCTCAATGTGTGAAATGTTGCCATCTAGCAAACGCTTTCCATTCATATGATTGCTAGGCATTTATTTTGTTTTTATTGGAAAGAAAGATAGGAAGATGAATAGTATTAACTTCCAAAATTTATCCTCCACTCCATTTTACTTTATATTTTTGTTCAGATTATACTGATTAAAAATCTCATGCTAGTGTATCTAAAAGATAGTTCCTCAGCAATGAGACAAATTAGGCTTTTATCCCATCTGAAAAGAAGGTGTTTCACCGATTTCTCCTTGCCTTTTTCAGCACAACCTCCCACTGTTACTGTCTTGGTTAGGACAAGGAAAATGGATTGATCGGAATCAGGTTTCTATGGACAAATATTCTTAACCAGAAAGTGGGATTGCAGAGGAATGTGTATTTATCTACAAAGGATTATCTATAGGAATTGCAAAAGGAAAGATTCTGCTAAAAATAAAATCTTACTGTTGATTTGGGGATTTAAAAGGCTCGTTTTGTAAAATCTAACTTTTGGGATAAGTATGCTCTGTTAGATTAGGCGTTTGAATGGACTCTCTCAGAAGTTTAAATCTGAGCTTATTTGAAATGTAGATGCTTGAAGATCTGTATCTTTAAAAAAAAGTATATAAAAAAAAACTTAAAAGACTTAACACCAAGTCAAAAGCAAGAGTCCTATTCATTTCAGCTTGGACATCTAAACAGCAAAACTGCTACATAAAAATGTATTATTTCTTATATGTTCTATATTTTCTTCACTTTTAACATATTTTTTGAAAGCAGTTGATCAAATGGATCACAAGACAGTCCCCTGTCTCTACAGCCTGATCCAATAGAGCACTTAAGCACTAACCTTTCAGCACAAATAGTTCCACTGGCTGCAATATATAAATACTTGCTTGAATCAGAGCCACGGCCAGAAACCGACGTTTCATTCCAGTCTGCTATTGGACTGCAGGGACTAAAAATAAATAGTATTAGCTCTTTCTTTCTCTGATCAAGACAGGGATTAAAAAGGGAGCACGTCCCAGGTCTTTCATACTCCCAACAGCCTAATTCCAATATTCTTACCTCTGCTGCACAGCTAAGAACATGCTCAGAAGAATGAGGTGCAGTGGGGTGTCACGAGCACGTGGTGTCACAGGACAGCTCCTCCCTTGTCACTTGGCAGCTCCCATGCAGCCTTTTCTGCAGCTTCTAATTATGTGT